GGCTCACCCCGTCCGCTGGGCCGCCGCTCGCCGCCCGGCCGCCCCTCGGAGGAGCCGCGGCGCTAAGTCGCTGCGCGCCCGGCGGCTGGGAACGCGGCGTAAATATGCGGGGACCCAGCCGTGGGCTCAGCGAGGGTCGTGAGGGGGAATTTATTTCTTAATGTCCCTCCTTTATCGTATCATCGCTGAAACGAATTAGCGGTGACGTCCAACCCGGCTGGTTGATGGGTGTGGGGAGGGAGACGTCGCAACCCTCATTAAAAGAGCCGCTCTGGGCTCCAAAACATACATCTTTTATATAACCTAATTTCCATTTTTTTTTCTACCAGGAAACACACACACACACACATACACAATGACAATTTCTGGGAGCCTGGAGGGGGCTGAATGTAGTAACAACCGCACAGGGGAGGGCAGCTCTGTTTGGGCAGACAATGCCCCCTGGGAGGCTGGGATGGTTATTTCTGTCTCTCCGTGAGCGCTGGGATAACATTCCCGAATGGGACAGTGGCACCCAGGGGCCCTGCGGCTGGAGGTGCCTGGAGCCCCCAGGGGGCCGCAGAGGTTGTGGCCGGGCGCTGGCTGGGCTCTTGGGTGGGCAGACAGGGAGCCAGACCGCCTGTTCTGGAGGGGTTGCCTGGCCCGGGTCTTTTCCGGAGCAGCGCTCGGGCCTGGCATCTGGGGAGGGGGAAGGACACGGAGGGGCCGTGTCCACCTGTGGCCAGGCAGACCCGCAAGTGTGCAGAGGCCGAGGGCAGGGCTGAGGGAGGGGAGAGCGCAGGGAAGGAAGCCTGCCATCCTTTCTTAGGGGCAGAAACATATGGGTAACCATATAAACCCGTCTCAAAAGCTGTCTTCTCCTGGGCAGATTGCAAAGGATTTTGCATCGCAGTGTTGCTCACACGGTCTTGGGGAAACGGGGAAACATCAAGGAAAGAGAGGAGGATTCAGACACACGCACACGCGCACTGGCAAGCAGGCACACGCGTGGCACCCGGCTCCGGGAGGCTTGATCCTTCGCTGGCCAGCCTGGCTGCGGGAGGGCCAGCCCGCTCAGACTCTGGGTGGCGCAGAGACGAGGCAAACCGCCACCCACACTCTTTGTCACTAATAGATGCTTTTCGGATCGTCTTGCACATCAGGCAGGGGAGGGGGTGTGTGAGACCTTGGGGGTAGGAAGAGGGAGTGGGGGAGGAGACACCAGGCGAGAGTAAGGAAGAGGCTGACCGGTGCGTGAGGTCTGCGAGGTCAGTGTGTCTTCCGCACACTGGAAGGAGGACTCCAGAGGTTCCCGCAGCCCCAGGGCTCTGCCACTTCCTGTCTGCACTGAAAAGGCAAGTTCCAGAAGCTGTCTTCCAGCGGTGACACGGGTCTGGGGATGGTGTGCACAGTGAGATGATGCTGATGATGCCGTGGCAGTTCCTGACATGTAATAAATGCTCAGGAAAGTGTAGATGGGGATGATGGTGGTGGTGGGATAATGATGGTGACAGAACGGGTGTGCGGGGTGTCCAGGAAAGTGAGACTGGAGCTGGGTCCCTGCAGCCCGGTCCCCTCCTGTCCCGGGCCCAGCTTCCCTGACCTGAACCACCGCAAAGTTGAGCACTGGGTTTCGGTGGTGTCAGTCTCAGAACACTGCTCCCTCGATTACCATGGCAACTGGGGAAATCGGGAAGCCAGGGGAAGGGGGGTTGCTCTTCCGCTGGGCTGGCAGCTCACCTGCTCCCAGTGAGCAAGCGGAGTCCGCGCCTGCCTGCATGTGGGCCGGGCCAGAAGGGGCTCAAAGCAGGGGCACTTGCTCTTCCAAATTGTGGAGAAGGGTCCTTGGTGGGAAATGCACAGCCATGAGGTGGTGGGGTCGGGGCCCAGGCTGGGCTGTGCCCGCAGAAGGCAGACTTGGCCTGGGCTTGGAGAGAGGGGGAGAGAAATCCCATTCCCCCCAGTTCTGTCCTGGCCACCAGGTGTCCCGGTGCCATGAAGAGCAGGGCGTGGCAAGGCAGCTCTTGAGGCAGAGACCTGGGGCGACAGAGCTTTTGAGCCCAGGGGTGGAGCCAGTCACCATGAGGGGTCCTGTGTGTGTGTGTGTGTGTGTGTGTGTGTGTGTGTGTGTGTGTGTGTGTATGAGAGACACACAGAGAGATAGAGACAGAGACACACACACACAGACAGAAAATGAGAGACAGAGAATTAGAGAGGCAGAGACAGATAGAAAGAGAGATAGAGATAGAGACATTGGCAGGGAGAGAAGGAGAGAGATAGAAAAACAAAGAGACAGGCAGAGAGAGATTGGCAGAGTGATACAGAGATTAGCAGAGAAAGTGGCAAACACACACACGCACACACACACAGACTTCCCTTCCTCACTCTGGTTGCTTCCCTGGGATTCAGGGAAACTAGTAGCAACGCTAGTTGTAGTAATAGAAAGAATCGTGGCATTGCATATCGAGAGTTTCTCATTTTGTTGGTTTTGAACAGTCATAAAAATAGTATTGACGGCCTTATTCCCATTTTCCAGAGGGGAAAGTTAGCAGCTTTTGAGGCAAAGTGACTTGCGGTCTCCCAGTTAATCAGCAGTAAAGCAGATATTAGAACTCAGATCCTATCAACCCCAAAGCGGGGCCCTTCCCGCCTCTCCCCTGCTGCCTTGTGAGGGCTATCAGAGCCTTCCAGGGCGTGTCTGGTGTTTGGGAGTGGCTCTGGGTGTTTGGGGATCCCACCACCCTGCTGCTGGGCAGTGTCTCTAGCGATTCCCAACAACTGGAGGTAAAAGAGACTTTCACTGTCAATCAGGTGGGACTGGGAGGAGGAGGCACCAGTGACAATCCCCAAAATGCCCTTGGGCGAGGTGCCCTGGAGGCTGCCTTGGGCAGTCACACAAATCTGATGCCTCCAGGACTCTTTCAGTGTTCAGGGGAGGTGAGAATTATGGCCATCCTCCCTCTAGGCCGTGGTAGGATCAAATTGGCAGAGGCAGGTCCGGGCTCTGACATGGTCACTGTGATAATAGTCACCCTCAGATCTTCTCTCTGGACCACACTCCTCAGTTGGTCTCTATCTCTCTGTGTCTCTCTCATACACACACACACACACACACACACACACACACACACACACACACACTCCCTCCGTTCAAAGATGGATCCTGGGGGAAGCAGAGCACCCTGGTGGAGCCCAGGGGAGCAGAGGGAAGGGAGGAGGGAGGAGGTTGGCCTCACCGATGTGGCTGCCACCGAGGGGGTAATACATTATCCAGGGCTAATGAAAACATAATTATCTTCTTTTGGCTGCAGAGAGGGGCTAATTTAATAGGCTGCGTTCGAAAGGCATCTGCTGAATTCATCCAGCAGTGAAAACACTTGAAAGGCTCGGGCGGGGGGAAGCGGACGGAGTGCAGCCAGCGAGGCCTTGCTGCGGTGTCCAGGTGGAAGGTACCCCCAGGAAGGGGCAGCCTGGGGTACGGGTAGACGCATCAGAGGGGGTGTGGCAGCGGGTGGGCGTCCTGTGCACCACGGGGCCTGGGCCGCCTTCTTGCTGTGAGTTCTTGGGCTCGTTCTTTGCCTTTCTGAGTCTCAGCTTCCCCATCTGTAAAATGGGGGTTCATCCTGCCTCCCTGATACTGATTTGGAGGAACAGGTGGCCATGTGAGAGGGGCCCCAGCACATTCTAAGTATTTAACAAGACCGTCGCCCACTTCTGCTTGCCGGGCCAGCTCTCCTCAGCCTTCAGGTCTCAGCAGAAACTCCCCCTGTGGAAAAGCCCCTGCTGGGAGGTCCCATAGAGCTCAGCACCCCCGCCTTCACCTCACACAACACACTTTGGAAAATTCACTCACCCCGTGCCTTCCCCAAGGGTGGAGTGGTCTGTTTTGTCTCTCTAAGCCAGAGGCTCTCAAAACATGTTCCCTGCACAATTTAGCCTCACCTGAGAACTTGTAAGCGATGCCAGTTCCTGGGCACCGCTCTGACCTCCTGAATTAGACACTCAGGGTGGGGCCTGCAATCTGCACTTTAGACAAGCCCTCAGGTGACTCTGACGCACGCTCGTGTTTAGAAGCACTGTTCCCACCAAAACCCAAAGCCAGGTTTGTTTGAATAAGTGAAGGAAGAGCTTAGGGTTGAGCTGGGATTCAGCTGTATAATGACAAGAGCTCTCCCTTATTAGGCACCAACTGTATACTCAGCTACGTGCATTATGTCCTTTGCGCATGGCTCACCATCCACCACACTACTTCATCCTCACAAAATGCCCCCTGGGTCTTTTAAACACCCCCAGGGGGTCTGTAATTCAGGGCAACAAGGCAGGCCAAGGGGGCTTCTGATTCTGGAAAATAATTCAGCTTTTGAGCCTGTCTCTGGGTGCTTGGCTGGGGAAGCCATTCCGACATGCTAGAATGAAGAGAGGTACCAATGGGTAGGTTTTGCAGAGTTAGAGGAAGGAAGGGCCCTTGGAGAAGGCTGGCTGCATTTTACACAGGGGAGGCCAAGGTCCAGGAAGGCTCGGAGTTTTGTCCAAGGGCAGCAGCCTGTCAGCAACAGATCACTTTCCTGTCCTGACTCCCAGCTCGGGATGCTGGGTCTGGGAGGGGAGGGGAGGGGAGGGAAGGGGAGGGGGTGTCATTAAAGTGGCCACAGGGGCATGCTTCTGTGGTACCCAGTCTCAAGGAACAGGTTTTCTGAGAGCTTAGAACTGCCTGGAAAGGTAGGATTATAGTTCTTGGAGAGGTCAAAGAAAGACCCAGTAAACATTTGCAGGACCCTGGCAAGGAAGATAGAGGGCCAAGCCCTTTAAGGCTTAGAGGGGCAGACTGGGGCATTGCAATATCCCTAGAGGTGGGGCTGGGATGCCTGGCTTCCAGATCGAGCTCTGCCAGTGATGTACTGTGTAAGGACAGGCCAACCCCTTGGCATCTCTGGGCCTAGGAAGGGATCGTAACCTAAGGATGGCCAAGTCCCTGGAATTATATGCAAAATTGAGTGCATGCATGTTTTTCTGAGGTAGAGGGTCTGTAGTGTTCAACGGCTCTTTAAAGGGCTCTGAGACTTTGCAAAGTTTAAAGGCAATTGAGCCAGACTCTCTCCAGGGAGCTTTGATGGGTGAAAAGGAGGCTTTTTTTTTTTTTTTGCTAAGCGCCCTGCTGGCAAATTTGCAGGTTCCCTCCCCTGGTTCTACGCAGCCCATTTGGCAGAGAGGCAGTTCCCCAAATGACCAAGAGATGGCGCTAAACCTTCACTATAGCCTTCTGTTTTCCCGCGACCCGCCACGTAGGACCATGGTTTCTGATACTCAGCTTTTGGGACC